GATGAAACGTGCTTGTCGAGGAACTTTAACGTGATAATTCATCGAGTAAACATAGAAAAAGTTCTAAGTTAATTTGGAAAGTGAAGCAAGAGGCTAGATTTGTCCAAAAATTGCTATAAAAGAAATTAAACTTTAGTAATAATTAAGGCTAAAAAGACAATGTGGAAAACTCACCTCTACTGGGAAAATATGCTTGCATCCATTGATCACGATGATCCTTGGCAGTTTGCTGAGAGCTTCATATGCTCCGAGATATTCTTTGATCAGTGAGACATAGCTCTGCCTGTTACAAGTACCGCAGAGACCTAAAAAAGAAGATATCGTGCAAATGCTGGAACAATAAAATTGAAAGATTAATGGCACCATCGGCAAAAACTACAAAAATCCGTACTTGGACATGTCTCGCAACACATGCCAAGGCATGCGTGACCGCACATCAGTCGCATTGTACATGGTTGCTCACATGGTTTTACATCACATACTTCATAACACCTAACACAGGATAACATAATGGCTATGTTGATAGAGAACCACAGAAAGCGCACCTTTTACCGCAGCTACGATGTTGACAGCTATTGTCACACAGTCTGGGACAAAGTACACAAGGTTCTGAACAATTCCGACCGAAGGCAATTTCCTGCAGATCAGGAGTACATGGGAAGACATTGGAATATGGATACAAAGAAAGAACAATATATCTTACTCCTGGAGAGCCACCGTTCCCACACTGCTGATGTTTACACCTTGACGGGCATGAAGCAAGACATGGTTCACATGGATCACCACACCTGGAAAATTGGAACTCCTTTCAGAGTTATGTCAATGAAGAACATTTGGAAGCTTGATGTCAACTTGTGCGGTTTGCAACTATCTCATAAATAGATAAGATAAACAGCTGAAAAAAATTTCCATCCGTACAACCCACTTTTTCTTACACCTATGTCCGCACGGCAGGATTTTCTCACAAATTGATTCGCATTTGCATTCGCCAGCTGAGGAGAACACCAATAACATAGCAGTTCAGAAGAAGACACTTCTACAAAAATGCTTACCTGCAAAACATTCTCCGCAATTTTTCGAACATTGGTGACCACAAGGTAA